ATATATATATATTTCTTTGTTTGTTTTCACAAAACCACCACCTTCAGCTTTCATACGTGTTCCCTTACGAGATAGCAGTTCATCCATGAAGAAATTATATGATTACACTGTCTTTGTTCGGTATGAGCAGAATGAGCCTCATACTGGATTGTCTTGATGACTTTTATAACCTGACAGGACTATTTTCTTATTTACTAACTGAAGGAAAACACTCAAAATGTGACTCCCAATGGAAAAAGGCATGAACACTAAAATGTCATTTTGATACTACAGAAACTTTTCTCGGCTTTGTGCTCTCCAGCAGATACTTTTACCTCTTGCAGGTTCCCAGTGTGCAAAGTGTTAAGAAACAATATGGGACACAGAAGTTGCTTATTTTTCCTCTCCCCAATCTGTAACAGGGCATGCCTGTGTCATTGGAGAGCCTGGTACATTCAAAAAATTCATTAAAACCTTCATACACATTCATAGCTACCAAGTAATTCTGATGACAGAACATTTTAAATTGGTACACCTGAGCCCATTCATCTTTTCAAAAGGCAGTAACTGCAGTGTACGTGGCAGCAACCCTGCAACAATTTTTTTTTTAATGCTTCATGATTATTTCTGTGCACAGACAAGTTAGTTATGTCAAGCCTAGTGGACCCCATTTAGGAAAAAAAGTGCCAGCAGTTAACCATGCAAAACAGAGACAGGAGAAGGGAGTGTATAACTGTCCCTTTGCTGCTGGACTTTGCATCAAAGCAGAGATGTGCAGGAACATCCTGTGTTGTTATACCAGCTCAGTCCTTCATTTGGGATCACAATACTCAATTGCCACAGCTGTTTAGATGTAAGTCTACAGCTGTTTAAACATAAGTTCCAAGAGTTAAACTACTAACATTACTATTGCTTGAAACACACGGGAATGAAATACATGATCCTCCAAGACCAAAGACGAAATATTTAATAACTAATAGATAATAGAAGAAGTTGGAAAATAGAATTCACCTTGTAACCACCAGAAGATCTACAGTGCACGCTAATGCTATGAAGGTAAACCACAGTTTGGGATCTTTTACAAAACTCTTTAGATATTGACAGTGCTTAGCTCATGATGAAATAATTCCTTGCTCAAAAACATTCAATTGCTGCTTCATCACGTATCTGATATTTAAAGTGTTACTTGCAGTTTACACCTCAAACTGTGAACACTGACTTACTCCAAGTAGAATAGCATCAGTTTTCCAGATGCTCCATATATAGTTTCTGATCATTTCTATTGCCTATCATTTTGTTCCCATACACCATGGCATCACAGCATTTACCCAGTGTGACTGAAAAAAGAATCAGTATCCTCTCAAATGCAATTCCTGGAATTTGATAACAGGCACCTATAACTTGCCTTAATGGAAGAACCCAAACAAGAATATATTTTAAGATTTTAATAAAATTATATATGACTAATATTTTTATGAAATTACTTTAAAGAAGAGCTCTCCGTAGACAGACTGCTTAGTATTTCTTTTGCTTCTAATCTCTAGAATAAAAGGACAGCTCTACCAATAATACACTATATATTCCTTCTATCTGTCAAAAAAATCAACGGGAAAGCCTCTTTATGAACTCTACCACTCAGTCTTAAGAACGTATTCCATTTTCACTTTACGAAATACAAGACATTCTTAATTCAAATATGAAAGACTAATTTGTAAACTATAAAACTGCCAATCGCAGGCAAATTTGCTGTCTTCCCCCTCAAATTATCCTCTTTTTCCTTCTTCAGCTTGCTCCAAAGAAAGAGTAATGGTGAATGCAGTTGCCATTAAGAAAAACATTAACTACTGAAATTTAGTGAATAAAACACCCCAACTGTTCAACCCTAAAACAGCTAAAGAGCTCTCCCGTGTGGTTTTTCATAGCATTGCCTAACAGTACAGCCAGGCAACCTTGATAGGCCCTGAAATACCTTAAATCAAGCATGCAAGATCAAGTTTTATTCATGCCAACATGCAGAATACACCACCCAAGATGAGTAGCTAAAAGGGGAACTTTTCATACAAAAGATTAAGTAGTCACCACAATGAGTGCCTTCATGAAAAACAAAGCTGGAATTTGACTCAGCAATTCTGAGGGGCTCTGTAGCACATTTACCTGTGGAAAGCTCTTAAAACCTGAAGGCTTTCAATGTCAGTATTTTATGACTACCACTACAGAGACTGAAATGGACATCAACAGCTTAAAATACTCATGATGTTAATTCTAACTTGTGAATATGTTCCCAACAGAAATACTAAGTTTAACAAGTCCTTTTATGATGATGATTATTATTATTTCCTTTCCAATGTTTAAGTCAGGCAAAATCTATTTGTTATCTTTACTTAATTTGCAAAAAGCAGATGTGAAAATTCATTTGGAAAATAAATTGCTATTCCTGTGTACCTAAACTTACATTTTTTAAAACTGCAAATGGTTCACTAAATCCTGGCATATCCAACAGGAATTTGGTGGTGACTGCCAGAAAAACAGTATTTAATATGAATTCATAGCTGGTTCTTAAGCCATCTCAATTTGCCTTTGACACTATCTGTTTTTAACCACTCCAAAAATGGGCTCAACTGGACAAACAAAATGTGAAGAGGAACCTGATCATGCCTGTGGTGATTACCAATCCATGTAGAAAAAGTCCAACCTTGATCTGGTCAAAATGGTTATTATAAACTCTCAAATCCCAACAGGATGATACCTGTTTAATGAATCATAGAACCTGTTTTCAGATGCAAGTAGATTTTTCCACGGAGATTCCCGTCTACGAAGGGGAGAAACACTACCTTAACAAGCTATAATAGGTCTTAATTTTGTTCAGTTTTAGCACCTTAAATACCATGGAGTTTCACCACTTGTGTTCCAAGACTTCTATTTGAATATTTCAGGAAATACTAAAAGCACATAGCTTAAGTCTTTTCAGTGTCTGCTACAAAAAAAAAAAAAGGGTCTGATTTTAAACAGGACAATATTATTTTAAAATACTTAGAACACTGACTCTGAGTAACAGCTCCTTCATTGTCTACCTCTGAAGGTCTGAAGAGAAAGTTTTGCTTACTTGTCAGTTTCTTAGGCTTTGTTTAATCCCTACAAATGACTCTTATCCCCTCTGTAAAGGTCAGAAGCAGGTTCTCAAGCCTTACCAGGTGAAAGATATTCCCTTTTGGCAAACACACTGTTAGTGTCTCAAATAGCAGCACCCTTTGATCATCTCACTCAAAGAAAGTTACTTTAACAAGCCTCTTGTTGAGATAGACTTGGCAACTGAAGAGAATTATGAAAAATGCAAGGATATTAAAGAGAGACTTCTACTAATACCTTTTCTTTCTTGGTTTGTGAAACATTTCTCATCCTGGAAGGGCAAACTCTCAACACTGACTAGAAAATTCTAACAGCAGTCTTAAATGCATGGTATGGCACCTTCCAGCAGGTTATGACAGCATTGGAAAATAATACTGACATTCAATAAACATAGAATTCTTATTTTGGAAGTACTTTCAGAGTATACACCCAGCGAGGCTCTCATCAAGCTGAATTCTATCAACATTTTCCATTGGATGACTGAAGACAAAAGCTTGATGGAGAGATTTTCTCAATAGGTCTCATGAGAAATCTCAGAACTCCTCTAGGTCAGAAAGCATTCATAAACAGACCTCAGTAACCTCGGAACTTCACCAGTCTAAACAAGACCAGTGAAATAGGATGCATGAAACAGTTTACAAGAAGCTACAGCTGTAGGGACAGGTAGAATGAAGACTTAAGGACATCCCAGACTCCCTAAAGGAGTCTGATACGAAGCGTTGCCTTATTTATTAATCCCTTCACTTCCCTTTCTTCAACTGTTTATCCATGGGGTATCTATAGCCAAAGGGCCAGGTCAGCAACTGTCTTAATATGAAATCTAAAATGCTCTTTAGGATTCCTCACACACATTGTTCCAGTGACAAGTTCCCCCTTAATAACATGTACTGATACCTCAAGCTACTTAAAAACAAGAGACCTTGGTTAAAGCAGGTACAATCTATCAGGAGGTGAGAGACAAGAAGGTAGGGAGAAGTCAAGGCTAAAGGTGAAGCAGTATTTTGTTACACTGACAGTATGGCAAAGAGGACATCACCACCCATCTCACCTGCTTTTTGACAAAAAACAAAGCAAGTAACCAGAATCAAGGCTGCAGACATTTTAAGCTCCTGGACTTAAGTTATTTCTGATATAGGCTGAGTATTTAGTGCTGTGTTTTAGAACTGGAGACCTCAATGGCAGCCTTGACCACTTAGAGAATAATTGGTTTTTCTTCTCTAATCTACAGATCTTGCAAAGCTGTTTCCAACAGTCCAGAATTTTAAGGAGAATCCAAGTAATTTCAAACACAGCATTCCAAAGTTTAACATGTCCTTTTTGGTTTCCATCAAGAAATTCAGGTAACAATGTCAGATTATCACAGGTCAGAAGCCTTTAACCTCTGTAGGCAGAACATACAGGAATGCTAGAATGAACCACCAGCCTTCTGCTTAATGCAAATAGCAATTAAAGAAACCTAAAAAAAAAAAAAAATCGCTAAAGCAGTCATTTGACCCTTTTGCACTACTGAAATGCCTAACAAAACGCCCACTGCCTACCAAAGTTCCAGCTGAAAAGTTACCAAAGATTGGTGTATTGGGTCTGGCTGAGATGGAGGTAATTTTTCCCATAGCAGCCCTCAGAGAGCTGTGTTTTGTATTAGGAGCTAGAAAGGTGTTGATAACACACCAGTGTTTTGGTTACTGGTGAGCAGTGCTAGCACAGCACCAAGGCTGTGTCTCCAACATTTCCCTCCTCCAGTTGGCTGGGAGTGGGAAAGGTCTTGGGAGGGGACACAGTCAGGACAGCTGACCCAAACTGACCAAAGGGATATTCCATACCATAGGATGTCTGCTCAGAAATAAAAGCAAGGGGAACAGAGGGGGAAGGGGGACATTCGTTATTTATGTTCGTGCTCCGGGAAACCACAATGCCTATGAGGCCCTGCTTCCAGGGAAGTGGCCAAACTTCGCCTGCTGATGGGAAGCAGAGAATAAATACTTTGTTCTTTTGCTTCTGCATGCGCAGCTTTGCTTTGCTTCTGTTAAACTGCCTTTTGTCTCGACCCACGAGTTTGGGGTTTTTTGTTGCATCTTCTTTTCTCCCCTACCCATCCTGCTGAGGAGGGGGGTGATAGAGTGGCTTGGTAGGCACCTGGCATTCAGGCAAGGTCAACCCACCACAATAGGTTAAAGCACTGAAGGATGTATAATATTTCTGCACTTCTTCAGGATGGAATTTCTTGGATTGGCATGAGACAGCTACAGAACACTGTCACAGAATCAAATCTTACCAAGATGCCTTAAATATCTAGATGACCATTCTAAGACTAGCACAGAAATAGAAAGGAGAAAACCTGTTCACTAAATTTACTACTGAATATATGAATAACAGAACTGAATTTGGTTTTCCCTTGCAGGAAATTTCAGACTTTAAAATTTAAAGAAAAAGAAAGAATTAAACATTTTTGTAGGCAAACACACACCTTAATAATTGAAGTTATAGACCAGCAATTATTAAGAAATCTTTTTAGGTTTTACTTTCAACTTTACTGTCAAAAATTTCAATTATCATTCTCCAAAAGCAACTCTTCATTCTTAATTAAAACAGCCAAAAGCAGTTTCACAACAATAATTTTAAACCCACAAATTTTGCTTTTAAAACACTAAGGTGATTTTTGCTATTTTAATCCAGTATCCTTAGCAGTATGAGCAACAACAGCAAACGTAAGGAAAAGATAGCTGGTACAAAAGGGAGTACCTGGAGATAACAGGTGACTTGCTTCCATTCACTGTATTTGTTCTTTCCCAAGGCTTTCTTGTTAGTTCTAGAAAACATAATGAGGAGATTAAAAACCGTCTTTTTCTATTCATTGTGTAATTTACATGAGGAAACTTCAAGTACCTGGCAACTCAAGTCAGCCTTACTTAGTTTGGTGATCGTTCTTTTGTTTGTTTTACTACATTGCATTAGTTCTTTCATATTAAGCTACCTCCTGTTGTATTTGTCTTATTTTTAGCCATACTATTATTTATGTTGTGATAGCATCTCAAAGTCTCACTTTTGTTCTAGACCTTGTAAATGCCATTTGATTCTTAATCCAAATGGGAAAAGGTCTGCCTATACTTTATTTACCCAATTGGTTCAGTTGTGAAACCTGGAATTCTGCAACTATAACCAGACAGTCACCTTCGAATACTGGGGGAAGACCTTTTTAAGCTAAAGGAGTTTTCCTGAGCTGATAATGAATAATATAAAATTAATTCAGTGCCAATTTCAGTGAAGTGACAGCAGGGATGATACAACCTCATAGAACTAGAATACCTTTCAGCAACGAGGTAGCTATTTTCCAAAGTCTTATTCCCAATAAGACACTTCTAAAGTTGCAATATATCATTTCCCCCTTTCAAAATAATACAGACTCAAAACTAAAGGTACATTGCTCTGAGATCCAGAAGAGGTTGTAGTTTACTTACCACCTGTCACACTACACGAAGTCTTACTGTGCATCTCATCTCCTGTCTGGACAACTTATACTCTATGGACAAGCAGTATATTATACACTGCAGAAGAGGACTCTTGGGCCTAGTCTATAAGCATGAGCCTAATTTGTACTCAGGTTTAAAATTCACACAACAGAAAGACTTACTTGCTATCACTACTCAGGACTTTAATGTGCCACTGATCCTATGAGTCTTTACTTCAGATATGGGGTTTGTTTATTTTGTTCCCTTTCTTTTGTACTGCTCTGCTAAGCTGGGCAAGCTGAGAGGCAGAAATGCCCTTTCAGAGTCTCATATTGACCAGGAAGTTCTCTGGGATGCAGCTAGATACTGAGAAGAATATCTGGACTGCAGAAGTCTGCTAGCATAGCCTGTGACCCAGCCAACTACAGGCTGCCAGTGTTAGTAATAAGTCTTAAGCTTAATTTGATACACCAGACTTCAGGACTTGTCCTGCCACAGGAGTTACTTTAGCAAGATTTTAGTTGTACATGCAAAATTTAGAAGCTTTTGCTATGGCTGCAGCTTGCTCAAGGACCACATGATCATCCTTATCTAGCTGAAACAGCAACATTATCCAAGGGTCATACGTCTGTTGCCTATCTTATGGTTTTGAGCTTGTTTTGTTTATATTATTACCTAACATGTTTTAACCTAGGTTTTACTTAGCGTTATGTGACTGTGTGTTTCCTCCCCTAAAAGGAATATACCATATACAGAAAAGGACTAAGCCACAGGAGGAGGGAGGGAGAGTGTACTGCCCTTTAACAGAGTTGAAATGTATCAAAATAAATGTAAGGAGATTCAAGCTCAGGACAGAAGAAATGTCTCCCCTTTCAACATCACACTTCACCTAACAAAGAATGTGGAACTCTGACAGTTCACAACAGCAGCACATAGGAAAGCTAAGCACAATGCCAAAGAGGTAAATGCTAGCAAGTCTGTGTATAACAATTTCAGTTATATTATTGGTGGTAATTAGACATAATTACACAAATTTTTAACCTGGCCTCTGCTCACTATGCCAAGCATTCCTCTTAAACATTTTCAAGACACATTCCAATGATGAGGTATAGCATTACCAGAACATTTTACATCACCAAGAAATTAAGTTAAATCTCTCCATTGGAAGGAAACAGTGAAAAACTCTGGATGCATTTGATATTTTAAACAAGTTTTATGAGGCTTCTTATCATGACAAACAATTAAAGGAACCACTTCACTTCCAGTGTTTTCTTATTTCCCTCTTTTGGGTCTATATTATTAGAAGTGTTCCAAAACCAGCCATTTCCCCAAGGCTACTATCATCACTGTGTTTAATAGAATGAAGCTAACTCCTAAGCTAAGGGGAGGGCAGGGGGAAGAAAAAAAAAAAAAAAAAGACAAAAAACTTGCTTTCTATTAAGTCATTTATTGCCTTGCAGTCTAACTTCCTTGGACTACCAGCTGTATCTCAATACTAACAGCTTTCCAGTTATTTCTGTCTGGACACACTTAGCTCCTTTCTATCTCACAGCCAGTGGCACCTGCATTTTGTTCATCCCACAGCTGTGGTCTTCAATATTAAGGCCTGCACACCATCAAGTGGCTGCATCATCTAGTGAAGAAGTATACACACAGGCAAGCAACCAGCTGAAAGCTAGAACATACTGAAGTCTGGTATATTAACTGCTTCGTCATTTTTCTTCTGCCTTCTGCTTCCAGCCTCTTTTGGGAGGACAAGCTGCAGGTTATATGGCACATCCTCCCCCTTTTGTATGCACATAGTGGGAGGTGGTCAGGGTTGCTAAGGGTACAAGAAGCTACTGCTAAAGGACAGGAAAAGAAAGTCATGAGTGTCACCTAAGTCTGTGAAACACAAACATTTACAGTATGAATACATATGCATGCTGACAATACATCTTGGTCAACTACAGACTTGGTGAGATGTAAGCTTTTCTTACTGACTGCAGCAGAAGTGTTAGCTACACAGTTCCAAGCTCTGCCACAAGTACTCCTCAGCAGAGGAATCATGGTTAAAGAATTTCTGCTCCATAGAAAGGACACTTGCACGTGAGGGAGTCTTTCCTAAAGTACCTGGAAGTGGCAACTGTTTCTGTCTGACCCTGACAGTCTTGTACATCTGCCCTGAAGGAACAAACCACCGTCCCAAATTGTGTCCTGCAATGACTGAGACAACTTGCTTTCACGTTCACTACCAACTGCTTTCTGTGCATCAGCCCCATGGTTCAACCAAGGGGGACCCTATACCAAGTACAGTGTTCCAGTGGGTGTTCCTTTTATTTGTCATCTTCTGAAACATTTCTGAAACAGGACCCATTCTACAGCAAAATGCCAGGCTGTAACTATGGGAGAAGAGTCAGCACAGCTGACTGGGATTTGTCATGAGGTTTCCACATCATGAGACACAGAGTTCACAAACCTGTGCTACTTACCAGGTGTGCTTGTTGAAGAAACCTTAGAAGCTGAAGACTCTGATTCTTCCTGATTAAACAGGAGGAGAGAGGGAGAAGGGGGAGAAGAAGAAAAGAGAAAAAAATACACCTTTGACTCTTATGAATTTAACAGATTAATCTCAACTGTTTATCTCACTTTTTATATAGATTTAAATGCTTCTGCTCAGTTGTATGTAAAAAATGTGCAAGCACTGCACACTTCACAAAATAGTGGCTATTTATATATGCATGGTAAAGATAAATAGTCTGTCATGTATACCATTAGAATCTTTCTCATAATCTAGTACTGAACAATGTGAAGTAGATAAAATTTGTCAACTCACAGTTTTATCTTCTTTCTGCTCTGGTTCTGTTGATCCCTTTTCAGCAATTCTTCTCCTATAGAGAGAAGACAAAAGTTACCAAGATCAACATGGTTTTAAGATGGAAGAATGTTTTTTAGTGTAATTAAAGACATATACACCTTGATAGGTATATAACTGAAAATCAGTGTTTAAAAAAGTATTTTCGAAATACTTTCAAGGACAAAGCCCTTCTGCCAAAGCGCCTGCAATTCTTTCTCCTCTTGCAGTCCACATCAGCTCCCCTACTGCTGCACAAAGACTTACACAGAAGAAAAGTACTCAGTTACACTCAAGTAAAAATGGCTATTCACAAAATGTTACCAAAGCAACCACATGAGAAAGGCAATGTTTATTTGATCCTTAGCCAGCTGCAAACAGGCACCCAAAATCCTACCTCTACAATGACTAAGCGGCTGGAGCACAGCAGAAACAGCTCCTTACCTCCTGGCCAGCAGGGCACTCATTTCTTCCATCAACCCACTGCCTCCCAAGGGAAGTGGTCCATTTCCACGACTACTATCTGTTTTAGATGAAGCAGAGCCGCCTCCTCCTCCACTTGTACTGGAGGAGTCTTCACCCTTCACAATACACAAGATAACAGCAGATGTGCAAACAAAATGATAGCTGACTTAATGAAAGAAGCAAAGTTCACATACAAGAAAGAAACAACTGTATAAAGAATGTGATGGGCTGGTAGTACATCCTGTAACGCTTTTTTAACAATGAATTAAGCCTACCCCAAAAAGTCTTGATACTGCTAGTAATCTTGAACAAAAATTACAATCAGACAGGGTTTAGAGACAGGAATTGGAAAAAGAAAGAAGAGTTGTCTGTATTTACCCGTGAGACTTTCCTAAGTTTGGCTCCAGCAAGTGCAGCCGCTAGTCCAGTTAAAGGGCGATTTTCTTCAGACACAAATCCCACTGAAAATCCAGAGGTGGGGAGAGGGGGAGCAGGAGGTGGAAGGGGAACGGGAGGAACTTGGCTAGGAAGTGGAGGAGGAGGAGGAGGTGGTGGTGGTGGAGGCCCTGAAGGTGGAAGTGGAGGTGGTGGTGGTGGGCCAGGAGGAGGTGGGGCTGCTACTGAAGACTGAGCTGGGCCAGAGAGTAGGGGTGGTGGGGGAGGAGGTGCAGGTGGTCCTTGGACAACACCTAGTATCAAAGAGAAAACAAAGAAACTATATTAAGGATTTACAAAAGAAAGATCTTACTTCCATTGAAATACTGGTTCTTTTGCTCAGTTAATACCGGTAAAGGTCCTTTTTATAGGCAAGAAAACACTTCCAGTTTCAGCAGGTTTTCTTATTAAATGCACTAAAAATATTATATAGTGTGCTATGAGAGATCAGACAGTTTCAGAGACGTTTACATACAAAACCCCTCCAGTCAGGTTATGTGCTGCAACCAAGAAGAATCTTACACCAGGAAACAGGCAAAGCTTTTCTAAAGAGTTAAGTAAGGTACGAGCACCATACCATGTAGGAACAATACTGTGTGTTCAAATGGTGCTAAACACAGAGTGACTTTCCATTGTATTAACAAGTGTTTAACATACCACCCAAACATCTGAACCCTTGAACTGTTTGAGTTCCAATGCTAATTTATAAGGTATATAAAAATCTTTCCTCTAAAAAACATTCCAGGAATCAACTTTAATAATTTAACACAAACACTAATTAGTGAGTTAGAAGACTGACATATTTTAAGCTGCTGGCAACAAGCTCTTCTATTTTTTTAATCTATGTTTCCTTTAATGCTTTAAACTCACATTGATATGCAATGCAAAGTGTGTTTTGAAGCAAGAATATTCTGATGATTACTGTGTTGTTATTACAGGAATAGCTTCAGAAACTATGACTAAGAAAGTAGCCCCACATCTTCGCCCTTTGCTCAAATTGCCATAAGCTACTAAAAATGCTGCACAACCACCTTAAGCAACCTCTCCAGGCAGGAATTACACACAAATCTTCCTGGTTTCCTACCCTGCTAACCACTGTGTGAATTTCAAAGCCTTTTAAACTCTCTTGATATCACTCACCATGCAATTGCACACTTTTATTCCACACCACAAGCCACTCTATTTCCACTCCATCATAGAGTAGCTCACACCTTCACTTAAGAGTATGGTATAAACAGGACCTACTCTGCATGGCTTGTGTTGATGAAGCCACAGTCTGCCCATCAGCCAGAAGCCACTCTGCCCACACCTTTAGCTGAGCTACTGCAGACTTATGTACAAAGACCTAAACCTATCAAACCAATATAAAAGCAGGATTCAGATTAACAAAGACATTCACACCAATGTAAAACATTTCTATGATATTGGCAGAGTGCCCATTAAGACTGTCACCTGCTTAATCAAAGTTTTTTCCTGAAGTCTGTTTAGCTACACTGGTAGAATACCACAGGAAGACCCATGTGTGTGCATATATGTATCAAAATATGATCACTGTGCAGAAAGAAATGCTGAAGCGGTTACATACTACTTTCTAAATTTGAAACTACACAGAGTATCAAAGTGCTTCAGATTATTCCTTGCTTAAGGTCATTCACATGTCCAAAGCCACACATACATTCATCCACATCAGCTGCCATTAGGAAATTAATGATGCTGCCTATTAACACCATGTTCCAAATAAACTAACAGTGCTAGATTTACCGAGCGTTTGACAAGTGAGAGCTCAAGAAACCAGAACTGTACTTATGGCAGGCCACAGAATGTCGGTTCTTCTCCGCGGAGCTTTGAAGTTTCCCTTACCCCAGTTTTCCAAATGGTATTTCGTTGTGCTATTAAGATCACTGCAACTTTGGAAGCATTCTATTAATTCTTTGGGGCAGTTACAGGCTTTGATACCAATTGGTTTCGACTGCATTCCTGATTAGTGCATTAGTAGCAATAACAGAAAGCCTTACCCTGCTGGGTCGTAGGTTCAATCGGCTGAGAGGCTGCCTGCAAGACTGGCTCAGAAGCAGAGGAGTCTCCCAGCACAGAGTTTAGAGAGTTCTCAACAGAGGCAGGGGTAGCTGCAGAGGGAGAAGGGAGAACACTAGGCTTGGATGAGGGAGTCGAGGCATTCGGGGAGTTGGGAGAAGAAGCTTGAGGTCCAGAGAGTGACAGAGGCGGAAAGGAAGGCAGCGGGGGGGGAGGAGGTGGCGGAGGAGGAGTTGGACCTGAGGTAGAAGGTGAAGGAACCGGGTAAGCCAGGTTTTCAGGAAGCCCATTAGGAGCCGTGGGAGACGTGGACATTTGGGTCGCTGGATTAGAAGCTGACACTGGTAGGACAGGTCTCGGACCAGTAGCTTTGCCTGGTGGACTGCTTATCATTACTGGAGGAGATGGGGGAAGGGGGGCAAAACTGGGCGCGGACCAGGCAACAGGCTTTGTATTTGGAGGCAAAGTCGCCGGGGCATTGACAGGAGAAGGGGGCCGAGAACTTTTGTTGAGTGGACGAGGAACTGTAGCATAATGGGGGAGAACAGGGTGGAAAGCTGAGCCTAAAGATGTAGCAAAACGTGATGCAGAGTGCCTTAGAGGCGGTGTAGGGGGAGTGGAAGTCGGTGGTGCAGAAGTCACTACAGCGTATTCCGGTGTGGCCTCTGACATTGGTGCTGAGACTGCTTTTGCATATGATGGAGGAGGTGCTGAAGGAGGCTGGCAACTGGAGTATTCAGGAAGTGGAGTGCTATACGGGGAGCTGTCGAAAGATGGAGCTGGACAGAAGATGTAAAGCAGCAGCAAAGGCAGGATAAAAAAAGGAGAAAGAGAAAAAAGGGAGCTAATGAAGCAACAAAACCAGCATTCAAACAAAATGTATAAATGTAGACTACAGTTAGTACCAGAGGATTAGGCACAAGTGAAAATACTGTTAGGAAAGTTTTACATATTATCAACAGCTGCTTTTAAGTTTTACCAACTATTTTTGTGCCAACATTTGAATTTACAAGTACGTTCTAGAGTGAGTTTTCTCAAATCCCATCTGTGAGATGGATTAGATATAGGGTTGATTAATCAGTCTTTTATCAGCTTTTATCTTCTTGTTTGGTTGCAAACTGCAAGCAAGTGTAGTGATCTTAACATTTGTTACAGCTCCACTAATAAAACTCATATCACAGGCAGCAAGAAAGTATCATCTTTTTCTTCCCCACAAAAAGCTCCATCGCAAACTTGAAAGTACCACAAATAAATCTACCAATAAAGCCCCCTGCTCCTCTAAAATTACTAGCTCTTACATAGTATTCCTTAACTCTTACCATGAGCTGAATCCTTATGTAAATTGAGTTTGTTACTAAAGAACAACCAAGTGCTTGTCTAATGTTCCATTATATTACTACAATGAGAAAGCTTTCAGTTACCACTGGATACATTTCCGCAGGCAGTGCATTATCTTATCTACAAATACATATAATACATTTAACTGAAATGTTACTACAATGATAAATTAAGCAAGACTTCATACTGAAAGGCATTTATTGCACTATTATTTTACTTTGCCTTATATAGGTACATACCCTCTCCATTAACACACTCGACCTGATACATTTAGGGGTTTTTTTTCCAAATTATGTGAAGAGATCACATTGTTGAATAGAGCAAGCAACAATAAAGGTATTTAGAAACTTTAACTCATCATACTTCAACCAACATTAGAGGTGCCCAACATGATTCAAGTTCTTCAAGCAATCACAGTACAGCAATGGAGTGAGCAAATAGTGAAAAAAAAAAAAAAAAAAAAGTTATTTCAGAGTTAACGGAAAATTATGAGAGCAGAGTCAAAGCTCCTGGACTTCTTGCCATTAAAAAAGGAAGCAATTCCAGCAATAGAAGCCTGAAATACTGACTCTTGTTACATAACTACTTCCTGCCCTTTATTGCTTCTCTCCCACTCCATCACCCAAACACATTAAGAGTAGTCTGGTACTTGAATACACTCGGTTTTGAAATTCTTACCAGCATTTGAAATTCTTCTCTCTCTTTCCCATTCCAATTGTTCCCTTTCCAACTGTTCTTGTCGTTCTCTTTCTTGCCTTTCCCGTTCAAGTCGTTCAAGTCTTTCTCGATCCTGCCTCTCCTTCTCTTGTCTCTCCCTTTCTAGGCGCTCTTGCCGTTCCCTTTCTTGCCGTTCTCTCTCCAGTTGCTCCTGTTCTAGGCGCTCTCTTTCAAGTCTTTCCCTTTCTAGCCTCTCTCTCTCCAGCCTCTCCCGTTCCATTCGTTCACGATCCAGCCTCTCCCGTTCCAGCTCCTTCTGCCTCTGTTGCTCTTGCAACTGTCTACAATCATGAAAAAAGGAAAAAGACTAAGCTGCAAAGCAAAACCCAAAAACGTCAAGGAACTGTTAGAGCACAAGAAGAGAAACTCATCAACAATCTTTGCATAAGTGAGAACAAAAGCACAGCGTTTGTACCTACATAAAATTCTTAATTCTACATGTCATTTTTTCTGAGCTGGATAATAGTTTTATTATGTTTACAGCAAAAAGAATCACATATCCAATTTCCTCTTAACTAATTGAACGTTCCAAGAGACAGCTTTAAATAGGTAAGAATAGAAAGCTGGTGCTGCTGCTAATTTACTAACTGATACAATCTTCCCAGTTTGGGATATAGGGTTACATTTGTCCTTTTTGCATGGTATTTTATACTCCAAGAAGTGAATAAAAGTACAGTGAAATAGCAGTAACACAAATACTTACTAAAAAAAAAACCAACCCCCAAACAAATGATGTTTTTTAGATAAACTAGTCAGACAGTATTTATCCAAATTTTACAGAAGCATCAAAATGTACACATGTCCCTCTCCACTTGCATAATACTACACGCACATACAACATAACCCTCATCAAGGCAAGAACACCCTGAAGGCAGCGGAAAACTGGATATGGTCAGAAGAAAATTCAGGGTGCAGCACTCCTGCAAGGAGCTGGCAGGGTTTCCAGCTCATGGGAGTCTTCTCAAATGAAAGCACAGAGGGAGAAGACATGGAGAGGAAGAAAACAAGTAAAATACCAGGCAGAAGAGAGATAAAGAATTTCCTAAGGGTAAATTAGGCAGGGTAAATTAGCAATAAAATTTGCTGACAAAGTCACTAGGCTGGTTGAAAGAAAGGACTTTCCTACAAAAATACAGTGAAAAAAGCTGTAATGAACCCTTTTGCTTTTTTCCTTTTTTTTTTTTTTTTTTTTTTTTTTTAATATATAAAAAAGATACATGTTTCTAGTTTGCTAAAGTAATAGCTTTTTGGTTTTCAAAGCTTTTTTGTCTCTTGGGAGAACTCACCACTAAAACAAAAATTAGGCACATCTTCTTCAAAGTTGTGGCCAGTATGTTTCTGCCAGTGTATATATGATTGAAAATGTTATTGTCCTCTATTTGAATTCTTATTTTAAAAAAAGATATTTTAAAAGAAAAACTTGTATATAAAGCACACAGCCATTTTTTTTCTGCCATGCTTTAGGTACAAACTGAAGATAGCTTCTCAACAAATACAGAGCACAGCCAGCTTTTAACCATAAAGCAAAAAGGAGACACCCAAATTTCAACACCTTAAGCTAATAGATATGTATTTTCTATAGACTGCCACTAGGCAATTTTATTTGGAAAGGTCATTGGTAATTCTATACTATACTCTTAAAGCCATATAAAACTGAAGTCTGACAGGGAAGGGAACTTCAGCTATTTCACTCCTATTTATGCCTAGAAAACATTGGCAGAATTGGAAACCTCAGCACATGCACTGTTACTATTGAAGTCCATCCTCTTTCAGGCCAATGTGTTTCCTTTATAAACAAAACAAGTGACAAATATTGATATTTCATAAAGTTCCAGTTAAGCACAGCAAAAGGACTTTTCCCCACTGAACTTGTTGCCTAACTTCCTCAGAAGCAGCAAAACAGTTCTGCTCCTATATCTGTTCTTCCCTCAGCACCTGCTCTCCCATATAACAAAACTGTAACAGCTGTCACTAAGAAATTAGGGCTGCAACTCAGCTTGTTAAATGCTTGATTTTTAGCCTCTAAAGTCCACCAAAAAGTGTGGTAATTGACTGATACATATTTGGAACTAGTAGAAGACTTCTACAAAATACCAACAGAACACAATATAAACCCCAGAAATTTAAGCTCCAAAGGAGGCATTAAACATATTTTTGGCATTATGGTTTTGCTTGCTCTGTACTGTACAAAACTAGTTTTACTATGTGCTCTTTTTCCCTCGGATAAAATCTCTTATTAGAGGAAAGCGGGGTTTTCATAGTGGCTAACTTCAGCTTGGTCATCTTAGGCTCTCTTTTTATAAAGGAGAAGTGGATGTACATATGTTTGTAGCTAAAAGACTATTCAGAGCAGAAATCAACATTTACAAATTCCAAAGCAGCTTTTCTTATTTTGTTCATTCTTTTTCATTCATTTGCCAGAGATTAGCATATTCTACCTAGAAACATAACACACTGTTGATCCTAAACCCAAAATGTAAATAAGCCATTTGAGGTTATAAACATTTCATGTTATATTGAGTTTATAAAACTAGGAGGGAGAAATTCACTGGGGTTAACAACACACCAGGCAGCTGCCAGATATTTAACACAAAAACTTTCATCTACACAGGACCTGAATAAAATAAATTATCATTTTTAAACAAACATTGAGTGATTCAGTATTTAACATTTATTTTTGTAAAATAATCCTCATTTTCCATTTCTTCAGGAAATAAAGGAATAAAACCAGAATTTTTTTAAATGTACAAATAAAAACTATGAACAAGTTGAGCCCCTTGCTTACAATACAAATGGTCTATCAAGAGAGGGCAGCAAAGTACCTTGCAAACATTTCTTATATACAATTCCCATGCAATAAGATGAGATAAAATACACCACCGTTGAGAGTAATTTTAATTTTATTCTTTGTATATTGCTGAAGCATCCTCTTTTCAACAAGGAAAAGCAAAAAACCAAACCAAACCAAACAAAAAATATAAACCACTAAACAAAAAGCCTACATACAACATCTCACTAAATTTTAAAGTCATTTTAGCAATTTTAATAAACCTTTCCAATAGAAAACCAAAAGCAGCACAGGTAAAAAGATCAGTATACCAGTAATGCAATCAAGTTGCTTTAACACAACTTAATCAGCAAGGATGAATTTTGTAAACTAAGAAAGAACTACACCTTAACAAGTGTTACCGTTGTAGCTTAAAAAGAACTAATTAAGAACTAAGAATTAAGAACTAATTTTGCTTATTAAAAATAAAAGATCAATTTGTTTGCATTAAATCCTCCTAGTTTTGTTTAGTTAGTATTAGGTAACATTTTATTTTAAAATTCTGTCAGAGATCAAAATTATATTATGCAAAAGCATTAGGAGATTAAGAAGAGTCATTACACATCAATTAAAGCATTTCTGAAGTGTCAAGACTTTGGTAGTTCTGAAGCACAGGAACATTCAAGAATATTGTGAAAGAAATAGGTGAAAATCCTTCAGCCTTAGCAAGAACAGTATCTAGCTACCAGGACAACTTCTGAAAAAGCTAAGAGGTACTAAAAATGCCCCAGAAAGTTATCTTATAGTGAAATGCTCATTATACCAAGGCAAAGTGATTCCAATTATTTCAGAAGTGTGAATTACTGGAATCTAAGAGCTAATTTACATTGAATAGCTGAGACTGCTACAAAAACTGTACAGCATGTCAGTCATACAGAAGGTTCTGTCACACACGGGTTTAGATTCAAAGAGTCAACTTCAGAATTTCAGAACGGCTGCTAGCTTTATCACATATCCTATTCATGAAACTGTCTTTTTGGATTTTAATTAGCTTACTGTAAAAAAAAAAAAAAAACATTGTAGGAAACTTCACTTTGGGGTGTTTGGGGGGTGTATCTTGATTTTTTTTTTTTTTTTGTGGTGTTCATTTTAAATTAACTTACTTTAATATTGCAACAGTTTTAAAATTATTTCCTCTCTTGTACTTCTGTCCAGTTAAGGAGGTATAAGGAGGTATTGTCAGAATATGAAGAAAGTTATAATACTAACTTGTGACTTTTAACTCTATCAGCATTAATCCTGCAGTTCTTTGGGCAGTCAAGAATCAGGAGAATGACTACATTCTTGAAATAACTCTGCTCATTGCATTTTTCTCCTTGTGTTAAGTACACACTGTTGCATCCCTTCTGAAAAAAAAACCAAACCCCACATTCCATGATGGTGAAAGCGCTCAGAGTTTCTCCTACATGTCAATTGCAAAACAGAACTGCAATTAATTTATTCATGTACACACAAAGCCTTCCTAGTTAGTTCTGAATCAGATCATAAACAGGAATAACAATTAAGAAGTGCTACCGTTTCAGCTCTTGATGTTATGTGAAATGAGCCAATACTACATGTACACCGAGAAAATTTTCTACTATGCATTTCACTACATTCAACAACTACTATGTGTGATGATCAACTAGGCAACTTGAAAGCTAACCCAAATTAATAGTATCCATTACACCTTTAGATCTCTATTTTTGGGGGAGTGTGGGGGGAATAGGTGGTTGTTTTAGCTTCTGCTCCTGGAGGTGAATGACTGACAGAGATCCTGTGGTCCTTTTGCTAAAGACTTCAATATAATCAACCAAAAGAATTGAAGCCTCAATCAATTATCTTAAAATATGGCCATTACCACATGGGTTGAAGGGAAGACAAAGATGTCAACTAGATAGACCTCAGTGTTTACTAGTAAAACAATATTCTGTGTCAGAGCAGACTTAATAGCAGAAAGAACCCATCCTTTTCTGGAACACTCATCACATTTAAGCCTGTACTTTGTCATCTGCAGAAGAGTTACTGCAAGTGTCTCAGTTTGTGGAAAGACCGTCCTTTCACGAGAGAAAGTACACCTCAACATTAAGCAACTCTTTGTGCCAAAAAAAGAGAGCAAGTGTCACAAGGGCACCAGGAGAAAAAAAAATCTACAAGTATGTGAAACTATCACAAAGTAACAAAGCCATTGCTGAAACAGTTTGTGAAAGCAAATAGCTGACTGCTCTGGCAGGTCACCTTGTTTCCTCCAGTGAAAGTTTTTCTGTACAGTCGCATAAATCTTCTGGATTCTAACACTGGCTTGCTTTGCTCCTGGAGGCGAGATGAAGCCATTAAGTTTTTCCCTAAAAAGATGATAGGAAACTACACCGAGAAGACCATGTATCAACTTGAATAACAGAATTCAGCCACAAACCCGAAAGGCTTCTTGTCACGAAGCCAGAGACATCAGAACCAGAGATATTTCCATGAACA